AAAAAAGGTTGTAGGGTCGTTGTAGGAGTAATTTACTCTTTGATTTTTAATAACTATTGTCATCCAATTCATACACTAGTTTGAACATTTGTTAAATTTTTTAAAATAAATAGAAATTTTTATTTAATTTATAAATACTCTTTTAAAAAAATATATATTTTTATTTTTAATTTAAATGACACTGAGCTATTTTTTGCATTATATTTTATAGTAAATTTTTGAACTAATAATAATGTAACAGGGAAATGTTCCCTTACCCACGGTGGCAAGGCGGATTTAGACTTGGGCCTGCCGAGGCTGGATTTTTGCTACTAGTATATGTAGTTATAATTTTTAAATAAATATTTAGGAAGAAAAGACAAATTTAGAGAACTTGCGATACATAATAAACACTTTTAAGCTTTTTTTAATAGTCTATATAAAATGAAGTCGAACATTAACTCTATGTTCTCTTCTATAATTAAATTTATTGACATGATAATCGAGAATGAGACTATTGCTAATAAAAGAGGACAATATAATTTATTGCTTGTGCAGATACAACCCTTTGATTTCATATTTTGTCTTCTTGTAATGAGACAAATTTTACACTAACTAATGAGTTATGAGTAGAACTATAAAAAAAAGATGAAATGCACGCCGTGGTGGCAAAATATGGGTATGTATATTTCCAGATAAACCAGTTACAATATATTATCAATGCTATAGATTTGGTCAAGGCAAGTAAGACCGTACTAGTTTATAAAAACTAGATTTTTTTTTTGGTGTTAACTAGAGCTTATTTGAAAATGGTTAATATGATTAGTTGTGTGTGGAAATTTAAAAAATTATTAAAATAATATTTAAAAATAATAATTGAAATTGATTTGATGTAAAAGTAAGAGATATATGATAAAATGATAAGTAATTAAAATTGTGTGAGTGGATTAATAGTGAATTAATGTAGTGTGTAAGAATAGTTGGATGATATTATGTAGTTATATTGATAATATCGAAGATGCTGGGGTGAGTTAAAGTCAAGTTAGATTTAAAATTGAGATAGAATTCTTTTTTCTATTTTTTTTTTTCTAGAATTTGATAACCAAGCACGACCGAAACAACTCCAAAAATGAGAGAAGAAGAATGTGAATGTTAAAATTTCTTGCACAAGGTAAATTCGTATGTAATAAGCACGGCATAAAAAAATTCGAGCACTTTAATTTTTTATTTTATATTGCCCCGGCTGATAAAATTTTTGCATCCGCCGCTGCACGGTGGACACATGTTAATATGCCCACTGTTTATGTGGCATGCACACATTGGAGATGTTAATATATTAAAAGAAATATATCACCAATGTGTGCATGTCACATAAGCGGTGGGCATATTACCCACCGTGGATAGGGGAGCATTTCCGTAATGTATAGACGTGATTAGATATCCAATTAGGATATAATGTGTAACTAGTACAACGCCCGTGTATTACACGAGTGCTTGCTAATTTATTTTTAAATCTAAAATTAATGAGAAAAAGTAGTTAGAAAAATTTAAATACCTTTTATAAAAATATATATATTATTATATTTAATATGACACTTTGTATTTGTGCAACTTACATGTGTTATATTATAATAATTTTTTTTAAGTTACAACATATAACTACATTAAGCATAAATATATCAATTGAGAATTTTTTTATTTTTCTAATGAATTTTAATAAATATAATTATTTTTTATTATTATAAATATAAATATAATTTATTTATTTCATAGATACAATATGGATGTCAAATCGAAGATCATCAAAAGATGATTAATTTGATATATTATATATTTAAAACCGATATGAAATACAGAAGTTATCGACTTTTAAAATACATTTATAATTCAATAGTTAATTGAAGGAAACAAATCAAAAGTCAAGGATATATTAGTCACTTAGTGCCTCAATATGTAAAATTATAAAGAAATAAAGGGTCATATTAGTACAAGTGATATTAAAATACCTAAGTTAGCTAAATAATATTTATGGAATGTCCAAACCTGAATTATTAATTATTAATATATCAATATTATTTGTTCAAACCTAACTACGAAGCATGATTGTTTGCCAAGTAGGATTCCGAAGCACCAGAAGCAGGCACGTAGGCTCAGTGCATTCTGGAATACTATATAGGGGGGATTTTTTTTTAACTTACAATATATCTACATTACATATAAATATATCAATTGAGAAATAATTTTATTTTTCTAATGAATTTTAGTAAATATTATTATTTTTTATTATTATAAAGATAAATATAATTTATTTATTTCATATATACAATATGGATGTCAAATCGAAGATCATCAAAAGATGATTAATTTGATATATTATATATGTAAAACCGATAAGAAATACAAAAGTTATCAACTTTTAAAATACATTTATAATTCAATAGCTTATTGAAGGAAACAAATCAAAATTCAGGGATATATTAGTCACTTACTGCCTCACTATAGAAAATTACAGAAAATTAAAGGGTTATATTAGTAAAAGTGATATTAAAATATCTAAGTTAACTAAATAATATTTATGGAATACCCGAACCTAGATTATTAATTATTAATATATCAATATTATTTAACCAAACCTAATTACGAAGCATGATTCTTCGCCAAATATGATTTTGAAGCACCAAAAGCAGCCACGTAGGCAGCGCATTCGAAAATTATATATAGGGAGGATTTAAGTTTTATTCATAAAGCTAGATATAAATTCTTTTAGATATACAGTATCAATATTATATCGAAGATTGTGAAAAAGATGATTGATGTAATATATCATACATCAAAAAATGGATACCGAATATAAAAAAGGTTATTAAGTTTTAAAATATATTTATAATTTAGATTTATAATAAATATTTATATTTATTAAGTTTTATAATTATGGATATCCTCCCTATATATAATTTCCGAATGCGCTGAGCCTACGTGGCTGTTTCTGGTGCTTCGGAATCCTACTTGGCGAAAAATCATGCTTCGTAATTAGGTTTGGACAAATAATATTGATATATTAATTATTAATAATCTAGGTTCGGACATTACATAAATATTATTTAGCTAAATTAGGCATTTTAATATCACTTGTACTAATATAAACTTTTAGTTCTTTGTAATTTTACATAGTGAGACACTAAGTGACTAATATATCCCTGACTTTTGATTTGTTTCCTTCAATTAGCTATTAAATTGTTAATGTATTTTAAAAGTTGATAACTTTTGTATTTCTTATCGATTTTACATATATAATATATCAAATTAATCATCTTTTGATGATCTTCGATTTGACATCCATATTGTATATATGAAGTAAATAAATTATATTTATCTTTATAATAATAAAAAATAATAATATTTATTAAAATTCATTAACAAAATAAAATTATTTCTCAATTGACATATTTATGTTTAATGTAGTTATATGTTGTAAGTTAAAAAAAAATTATACCGCACAAATAAAAAGTGTCATACTAAATGTATAATAATATATATATATAAGGTATTTAAATTTTCAGCTACTTTTTCTCAATAATTTTTTATTTTAAGAAAAAAAATTAGCAAGCACCCGTGTAATGCACGAGCGTTGTACTAGTTTTATATGAATAATTCATAATTAACATAAAAAAGTGTTAAAATACTAAAGTGGGCCTTCTGATTAAAGTTGGTGTCGAGAATAAATATTTTATGCTACTAATTATGAAAGTATGAAAAAGTAAAGTCTGCTGTAAGTACGGAGTTTACTTTTCTTTTTTCACTATTGTAAATATCACTTGTACTCGAATCATGCTTCATGCACATGCATCACCTCGCGTGCCATGTTCTAGAATATGCTATACAGTCTCGTTACGGAATCAATCCGTCGAGGTTTGAAATCAATTCGTCGAAATTTGTAATCGTTAGATTATAATGTAATCCTTAGAGATGGTTGATCTAACTGTTACAAACTCTGAAGGAATGATTTCTATAACGGAACCGAAGTAGCATTTCTAGTTCTTTTTTCTGTCATCAATTTCATATTATATAAAGCCTATAAATAGCTGAAAAAAAAAGAAGAATTTAATAAAAGTTTAAGAAGTTGTTAAAAGACTACAATTTAATTTGAACAAACTTTCTAAATATTGCCTAAAACTTAGTAATTTTAAAGATTGCAAACAACAAACAGTATATTCAAATTCAAGAGTAATTAAGAATTTTTTATTTTTTATTTACAACTATTTTAGTAGGTTACTAGGTTGTTATTGTACTTTTTTATATATTATGCTCGATTTTTTTTTATTAATAGTTGGATATTTAATTTATACAATTTATCATCTACTCCAAATTATTGACAATATTTCTCAAATTATCATGATCCAAACTTGTGTTCACATAAAAACAGGAATTGCATATAATATATATTCACACGAAAACTAATTAATTATTTTTCAAATTAATTGAACAATTAATGTTCATATTGCAATTAAATTTAACCCTCCATCAAAAACCTCTATAGATCACAACAAAGCAGGGCAGTATAGCCTTTGGATTCATAACGTACAACTCCTCCAGATTGGAATAAACTCCGGTTGACCCACTCACCGAGTCATAATCCTCCGAGTTCCCGTCCGGGTTCTTCTTCACCCGACCTGCAATGACCCGGCAAACCAGCATTGCCCTCTTCCCATGATCATTATCCGACCCGACCCTACAACTGTCATGAGCTTTCCCACTCGTAGCAGTTGTCAATATACCTAATGAAAAAAAATGTATAATCAAAATTAATTAGTTCAAATGAAAATCATAATTTCAATTTGTCAAAATTATAAAAGGTATAGTAAAAATTAATGGACATTTCATGCAATTATGATAGTTACTGGACATATTTTGCAATTTCTCTCTTTTTTTTTTTAAATGATAAATGTTATAATTAATAATACGAGTAAACCAACTAAAATCAGTCGAATCAATCAGCTACTAAGCTGAATCTATAGGGAAATGTGCACTAATGTAGCTTAAATAGCCGAAAACACACACAAAATTAAAATTTCAACGGACATATTTTTCAATTCATTCTTTCAATGAAGTATTATCATATTTTACAGTTCATTCGAATTATTCAAATCAAATAATAATAATGAAAAATAAAAAAAAAACTCACCTATAGACGAGACATCGGACGTGACCTTGAACCCGTTCTTGATGACGCTACACACGCCACAAGTTGGGCTCGGCCCACACAAATTGGACGACCCGTTGAGGCCCAACGAGCACATGAGAGTGGTGCAGTGGAACCGTAGGAGCTCGTTGCCATCGGCCAGGCAGCGCGGGTGCTTCTTGGGCTGCCGCGTAGCCTTAGCCTTGATGGCGTCACGATACTCTTCGAACTTGGATATTGTGGTGGGGGTATTTTGGACCTTTAGTATGCGGTCGATTTTGCAAATGGGGGCCTGCTTCTTGAGCCAGCTGGACTGGAATATGATCTCAACAATGTTCTTGCTCGTGTCTTCTGGGCCCAACTCGGATACTGTTTTTATAGTTCAAAATTGTGTGAGGTAGTCTAATTATTTTACATTATTAACAAAATTTATTTTTTGTATAATGAAATGTTTTACTTTTTATTTAGGATGTTTGATAAAGTATAACATTCAATTCAGTTTGAAAGTATGTACATTTGTGTAGTAATTAGGTCTAGGGTTGCAAACGAGTCGAGCGGCTCCGCTCGAGTCAAAGCTCGACTCAAGCTCGAGTTTGACCGAACTCTAGTCGAGCTCGAGCGGATCGATCACGAACTCGAGTCGAGCTCGAGCCTACATTTTGTCTTGTCGAACGGCTCGTCGAGCGGTTCGAGATATACGTTAACGACAAAAATACCCCTTATTATATATATTAGCATAGATGCTTAATGGTAATTTTATCTAATTTTCGAGCCGAGCTCGAGCATTTTGATTTCGAGTCGAGCACGAGCTATTGTAATTTCTTATCGAGTCGAGCTCGAGCAACCTAAAAAAAAACTCAATCCTGCTCGATAACGCCATTGCTCGACTCGGCTCGGCTCGTTTGCACCCCTAGTTAGGTCTGTCCAGAGCTGTTAAACGAAACGAGTCGTTCGTGAGTTCGACACGATAAAGTTTGTTAAAGGTTCGAAAATATGATTTTATGTATATATATAATTGTGTATAGGTTTCAGCTCGTTAATATTGATAAGCGAGTCGAGCTTAATCTTAACTATTGACTTCTTAAGCTCGATTCTATTCGTTTAACAGTAGGTTCAACTTGTTAATATTGGTAAGCGAGTCAAGCTTAATATTAACTATTGACTTGTTAAGCTCAATTCGACTCGTTTAACAGTAGGTTCACGGTGTTTATTTTATTATTATGTATTTGTGTTTTTTTTGTTTTGTTTTGTTTATTTGGGTGTGGGATTATAATTAATTTAATCCACCATTTTCTAGAAGCATTTATGGGTCATTGTTGGGAAGAGTGAATAGAATGAGAGATTGTGCATTTTATGTTTATAATAGTACTAATATTTAAGTATGTGACATTAATTGGGCTAAAGACTTTGGGAGATATAAATTAAATAAACCTGCATTTGGGTGCAATTATATATTTAATGAATTTCTATGTATTGGAGTGCTAAAACTTTGGGAAAAAAATTGAAGAAATAAAAGAGTTTGACCGCAAAAAGAATTGATGAAATAATAACCACACGCTCCCTTGCTTTATTAAGGTTTAAGACTTTTTTACTCTGAATTTAGAGTAACATAGAAAAGGTTCTTTTTTTTTTTTTATCACCCATTTTAAATTTTAATATTAATATAACTGTATGAAATACACGTATAAAGTGAAAATGTGGGGAAAATAATAAGACAGAAAACAATAGTATTCATCATTTCATCTTCTAAAATTGAGGGATAAAGTAAAATGATACTACTTAATAATTCTAATTAATGCATTTTGTTCAATACAAATTCTTGGGTGACATTGTCAAACCATTAGACACAGTCACACAGCTCGACCATTATTATATATATATAATAAAAATAGATATTAATATTATGAAATGTTATACTTGGTTTAGATTGTTTATTAGAATAAGTATACTTATGTTATATTATAGGGAACTGCTATAGCGAAACATTCTGTCGAGATTTGTAACTGTTAGATCATCATGTAACTTTCGTGGATAGTTGATCTAATGGTTACAAACTCCGACAAAAATCTGTAACGAGACCGTAGAATCTCCCTACGTTATAATATAATTTTTCTTTAATAAAATTGCTTACTTATCCTATGAGTAAAAATGAATAGTCGTTATTTTTCTTTAATAAAATTGCTTACTTATCCTATGAGTAAAAATGAATAGTCGACATGCCTAACGATTAGACCGTCTGACATAAAAATTTTCGAAATAGAGAATAGTTTACCTGCATGCCTAACAGCCTGATGAAGCTCCAAATTCTCAGCTTTCATGAAGATCTCTCCACACTCGGGGCACGAACAAATCGAGCCCCTCAAAGACGGGTCCTTCGACATACCAAGAACCGGGTCCACCACAAACCGACACTCATAACATCCCGACAACTTCCGAAACGGCATTCCTCTAAAGGGCCCAGAAACCGAGGGCGAATGTGGTTCGGGCCGGCTTCCGGGAAACGGTTTCGGGCCCGGGTCGGGCTTTTGCATGACCTTGGTGTTGTTGCATATGGAGCCGGAGCACTTGATTTTCGTGGTGGCCGCGGGGTGCTTCTTTTTAATGATGGGCTTGGTTTGTGTCTTGGGCTCGGGCTCGGGCTCGGGCTCGGGTTTTCTCTGTTGGGAGGGTTGTACGTGGGGCTGTGGGGGTTGTACCTGGAGGTACTTGCAGGTGAAGAGGCTTTTGACTGCTGCCCATGAGTGTGGTGGTTTTTTGTGTTGCTGTTTGTCTTTGGGCTGTTTTCTTCTGATGCTTTTGGCCATTTTTTGATAAGATAAAGAGGAAAGTTTGTAACAAAAGTTTGGAGTGAATGGGAAAATATAGATAGATGGATGCCTCTCTCTTTACTTTTAGGCTATTTATCATTTATGTCAAATAACTATCGGGTCTGAAATTTGTCAAACGACTCTTTTAAATCTCAGTCAGTTTGGTCCAATTTCGATCGCGAATGTGCGAATCAATCTTGCATTTCTAAAATTGGTCCGATAATTCTTAAATTTTAGCCAATTTGGTCTAGGCAAAAATTTAAATTATTCGACTAACTTCGGACACCGATAAATTACTAGGCAAAAAGGGGAAACAACCTTAGTTAGTGGACCAAAGTTACAATTTTTCCTATTTAAAATGACAAATTGTCACGTGGGGTGGCCTAACCGTTAGGTGAGTCAGTTCGTCATACTTCTTCAACAAAAATTAATGCATACTCACGCTATAAATATTTTTGTTTATATTGTCTTTATGGAGTGATATATGTCAATATAAAAAGTATGCACATATGTTAAAAAGGTATGATTGTCTAACCATCAGGTATGTCTAATCTTACTGTTTCATAAATGGTTAACCGTTACAAGTTCGACAAGTTGTGTTGTGTTTATTATTATTAAAAGTATCTATATATTCATTATGATGAAATGTCTTACTTTTATTTACTTAATTATTTTTAGGTGGCATTTCAAGAATATCGATCGAGAAAATATGAAATTCTAATCGTCAAAGTTGCTTACACACTCACGTGAGTACATTAAGATGTGCCCACCAATAAAAAAAAAAATGAGATTTGAAAATGCCACAAACTTTGCTTATTAAAATATATTTGTAAATAAGAGCTTATTAAGACCATCTCCAACCGAACGACAAAACGCAAAAAATGGGGGAAAAATCTCTCCAATTCTACTACAAACTGAAACACAAAATGGGTTTTTGAGTTTCCGTCTCTTAATTTTGACACAAATTTGCGTTCCTGGAAAAAAAATACGTTTGTACTTTTATTATTCCAATTTAGTCCTTCTTTTTATTTTTATTACACAAAGGGTTTAAAAAGTAAAAAAAAAAAAATAATAATAATAATTGTATGTGGTATGCGGACACTAAACTGGAAGGGACACATTGGGTGATGTTAAGATAATGTTATGGCATTAAAATTATATATGTATCATGTATCAACATTTAATTAAAAAATTATAATAAATTGAAATTATATAATTTTTCTACAATATAATATTTATCAGCAATTTATGTATGTGTATATATTATATTTAGTATTAGTAATAATTGTCAAGTTAAATGCTGTTTTATATTTTTATTGTTATATATTAGTATATTTTTAAAAGAAAAAAAATTACAAGCAATATTAATAGTGTGGTTTAATTTGTAAAATTGTAAAATATGTAGGTAGTATTGAAGAATTGTAAAGGTTGACGTGAAAGAGAATATTTTTTTGAATTTGAAAAATGATTTTTTGGTTAGAGATGAATTACTGCAAAATGTGACCGTTACTACAAAATGAGTTTGAGTATGAGGTTTTCTGTTGAAGATGGCCTAATACACTCAATGGGAATGCAGGTACAATAAAAGTTATATAATATAGTATATACTATTTTTTTTTTTATGGAAAAGAGAAGAGAAAACAAAGAAGGATGAGATGAGATAAATGGGGTAGCAATGCATACACTAGCTGAGAAGAGAAAACAAAGAAGGATGAGATGAGATAAATGGGGTAGCAATGCATACACTAGCTGACAAAGGAGCATGTGTGTATTATTTTTTTTGGTAGCCAGCCACGATATTCGGAGTTTTGCCCCGACTAATCCGTTGGTCGACCTAGGTCGCACACCTGGCAATGGTGGGTGAGTCTTCCAACAAAGGTTTTTTGCATTCACAAGGACTCGAACCCAAGACTTGCTTAAGCGACATCAAGTTGCTTACCACTTGAGTCAACCCTTGTTGGTAGCATGTGTGTATTATTAATTAGTAATTAGTGTGGTGTTGTAGAAGGGAATCTCAAGGTTTCTTTTAACTATTACTAATATATAAGTGATTAAATTTTGAACCTAACTTTAGAGCCAAAAAGAAAATTATTAAACTAGGGGCTAATTAATTGCAATGTCTTGAAGGTCCCATATAGGACATCCGGATAACTAGGCATAGTACTACCTTTTTCAATTTCCCTTTTTTTTTTTTTAACATACAAAATTATGGTTCACCACATTTAATATAAAACACAAATTTTTAATTTTTTTTTTCAATTTCCTTTTTTTTTTGATTTTTTTTAGCCATTTACATTTGTAAAACACAAATTTTGGCCACCTTTCTATAAACCTTTTTTTTAGCCATTGACAAAGATACTCTTACTATCATTTTTTTTTTAAAAAAAATCATATCTCTCTTCTCTCTTCATTCACTTATCTCTTCATTCTTCAATTTCATTAACTCATCTCAACAAAAAAAAAAATCATTCTCTTAACCAAAAAAAAAAAAAAAAATCATTCTCTCTATATTCATTTCGGCAACATTCTGGTGATATCTCAGAAATATTAGTGTAAATGTAGGGTTATAATTTATCTTTTTTTCAATGGGTCACATATATACTATTCAAATTAATAAAATAAATATTGCCAAAAAAAAATTGCAGAAATAGATTTCTTGGAACATTAAATGATTTTTGGGCCCAAAAATCGATTTTGGACCCATAAATCAATTTTTAGCCCATAAATCACATTTCTAGTCCAAAAATCATATTTCTGCGCCCATAAATCGATTCCTGGATCATCTCGTTTATGGACCCAGAAATCGATTTCTGGGTCAAGAAATTATTTCTGGTCCAGAAATCATTTCTTGTCTAAGAAATGTAATTTCTTGTCCATAAATTGATTTCCGGGCCAAAAATGTGATTTTTTGTCCATAAATCGATTTCTAGGAGAAATTGATTTCTAGATTCTAGTCCTAGAAATCGATTTCTGGGACCAGAAATTTGTTTTGAATCCTCAACATGGTTTATGGGATCTCAAAAATGGTAGATATGTCCCAAAAATGGTTTTTGAATCGTATAAACCATTTGTGTGATTTCAAAAATCATTTTATAAACCATTTTATTTGTTTTATTATAAACATTGATTACTTAATTCTAAAATAATTATTTAGAATTGTTTGTCATTAAATACTTTTGCATCTTTGTTTTACAGATGTGTGAAAAAGTTCGAATTGCGCATAGCGGATTTTGGGATGAGAATGTTTATAAAAATGGACAGGCAAAGATGAACTTTATGCGTTTGGGGAGTTTGTCGTATGAAGACTTTTTAAAAAGAGTTAATGACATTGTTTATAAAAATGGACAGACTGAAATGAACTTTATGCGTTTGGGGATGTCCCGAAGACTTAGTCATTGTTTCTGATCGTCATACAAGCAGCAAGTCGGCTTTAGAGGTTGTTTACCCCGAAACAACTCATGTTATTTGCGCGTACCACTTACGTCAAAGTATTCAACAATAGGATGTGTTGGGCTCGGAGATTGCCAATTTGTGCTTTGTTTGAATGCATTAGGCACAAGCACACACTATTGTTCCATTTCCAGTTTTAATAAAAAAAAATATATAACAGTAGCGACCCACGAAGGAACTCGCGACTCGCGGTGAAGAACAGAATCCTCATGCTTACAAGGGTCGCGATTCGCGGAGGAACTCGCGAGTTGCGGTGAAGAACAGGCTTCCAGGCTTCCCAGGGTATCGCGGAAAAGAACATACCTATAAATTAACAGCACAAACCATACATTAAACATAAAATGTTGTGGCACATGTAACATCATATTACTAACCTCCGAGAATAAACATCCAACAAGGAGTCGTTATCATCAACAATTGGGATTGAACTAACTTGTGCTGAAAATTACAACATTTATGTGATAATGAGTTGGCCCTGGGATTAGTTATGTCAAATACTTCGTAAAACATTATGCATATATAACAAAGCATTTGAAATAATTATTTTTTTTCGCATAAAACTATTTCACAAAATCTACAGAATCTATAGTTAAAAAACCCTCGGAGTTCGATATATATGACAAAAATCTACAGAATCTATAGTTAAAAAACTAGTTCTCCTTATAAATTAAAAACATAACCTTGTGCAGCAAAAATCACTTCAACCGCCAACAATTTGAATACGGATCATTTTCAAGACAAAATATATTATCCAATAGTAAAACTTCCTCATGTAATAAATTTAGAGCGGCACTAAGTGAAGAACTTGGTCTCAACATTGCCAGTGGTTATCGATTGGCCTCCCCAATTTTCGGAACCCACGTCCCCAACGGAATTGCATAGATTGGAAACTGAAGTATTGGCAATGAGCTCGGGGAATGCTTAAACCGGCAAGTACCTGGGCAGCAACTAAAAATGTTAGTTATGAAAGTGTTCCCAGGGCAAGCCACCCAGTCATCTTTCAAAATTACACACTTGCATTATTATATAGTCCCTACGTTCCATAATAAGACTTGTTGTGACCATTGTTACTGGAAAGTAAAAGGTAGATGTATTTTCCAGATATACCTCTAAATTTATTAAACATCAGTTGTTCCACACTGAGAAAAAAAAAAATAAAAAAAATGAAAGGTTTAAGGTAAACGTTAACTTCTTGTCATCAACCAAAAAATATATTGTTTTGTAGGATTAGGCAGGATATCCTATCTAATAGGCCACGTTTGGTTCGTTGTATTAAGGCCCGCTGGATTGGGTCGGCCCGGGATAAAAAAGTGAGTTATCCCATGAAATCAGGATAATTGAATCCCTCCATTTACATGGGATTAATTCAATCCCAAGAAGCTAAAGTCAAATTTACCCTCATTTTAATAATTTTTGGTTTAATTGAAAGGGTATAAAAGTACTTTACACCACCTACACATTTTTTATTTAATTTTTAATCTAAACTTATCCTACCTCTTATCCTGTATAACAAACATACGATTAACTCAATTCCAACAGTATAATCCTTTCCAATTAGACTAAATTAGTCCAAACCCATCCCCAAAAGCAAACAAGGGCTAAATGTATACCAAGACAGGCAGCCCCAGACAGCATATTACATAGCAGACCACAAAGCAAGTATTTATTTCAAGACAAAAAATTGAACAAAAGATTACATCTTTAATAGTCTACCTCTCACCATAACCCTTCAAATAAGCAACAAAACCCGAACATATAAGCATATGAGCATGTCGACGTATAGAATGGACAGACACAAATTTTCGACTCATTGAGAAAGCCATTTTCTCCACCAAGAAGTTGCTTGAGAAGAAGATGGCATAAGGAGATCCAACATAGTCTCTTTCTCCTTTGGTGTTAGTGGAACCCCTCTCACGAGGTTTAAGGCCATTATGTGCACGTTTGTTTTCCGCTTGTACCTTTTGTACGCCCACACACCTCCGGCAGTACCTGCAAACACAAGCTGCTTTCACGTTTTATGTTAGTTCCGCATACTATCCATGAGATTCATATTGTTCAAGAAAAAGAAATGAATTATTGTTAAAAATAACCAAATTACAGAAACACCATAAGGATTCAACTACAGATCCATTAGGATATGATAACTGAATGTGAGCTTTTTTTAACTGACCGGGGACAGCCACAGAGCTGCAGTTTGCATGTCGAATTTTGGCGTGTAAAGCACGCTCTCGCCAAAATCATCCTCGAGCTTCTTGAAGATTTCTTTGTCACTTTTACCCGACCGAATTTCATCACGTATTAACTTTGGTAGAAAAACGCGAGAAAATTAGCTAATGCTCACTGAATGCATATATGTCTGAGCTAGTTGGGTGAAAGGAAATAATGACAGAATATAGGAAAACAACATTTGATTAATCAATAAAAAAAATGGGAAGCAAAATCTAGAAAAGTAGAAACAAAGAACCTCGACCATACACCTAATATAGCTCAATTGTTATTAAAATTAGACAAGAAAATGTCAGCATAGCGCAAAATCTTTACGCAACGGGATTTCATCCTATTATCACCACAACAAGTAAATAGAAAAAAGATCTGGCTATCTCGCAAAATTAAGAATTACAAAGTCCTCTAAACGGCATGCATCCTTAATGTTTTGTACTCTAAAAAAGAATCCCTTTTCACAGTAGATTTCTGAAGAAAACAGAGCTTTAATGGAATTAGTATACCTTTTATGATCATCCGAAATGATATATAAGTTAACATCCTCACCTAATTGTGGTGATTCTAAGAGGCTGACTCAAGACTTAAAATTCACCATTTTCCCATGTCATAGGATTTTCTAACAGAAAAATCACTCAAAAGGGCATGAGAATATATGTAAAAATAAAAGACTAATAGAAAAGAAAGAGTACGAAAGGTACCAAAAAAACATAAGAAAACAACACCTTACGGAGGAGAATAGCAATGTCAGCTTGTGAGTCCTCAATAGACTGACTACCACACTCAGTACACCTCACATTGTGGCTTATATTTCTTGCTCGAGTCTCCACTAGCCGCTCGGCCATCACCTCATCCTCTGTCCTCTCCATCGAACCCGATTTCACCTTTCAAGTCTTTCAAATCAATTTTTGATTAACCAACTGAGAAGCTATATCATATGTAAAGAAGTAAAGATAGAGCATTTCAAAGCATGCAAAAATCAACAAGCCATGATAACGGTGTTCCAAATTTTCAGCTAGGCATTTTATCAAACAGTAAGCATGCTCACACGGATTACGGCCATTTCATGTATTTTTTTGAGCAAATTGAACGAGCAGTGTTGTAAAGATTCCATTTTTATGTTCTTTGATTGATCACATATAATCCAGATGAAGCAGAAGAAGTCCGTTAGACAAGATTTAACTAGGTGCAGGCTAGATAAACACCTCAAATATTGAAGGGGCGAAATAAGAAAATCAAAGTGATCGGTGTTGACGATGAGGTTTACAAATCACCGTCGAAATATCATTCATGCCTTTCGAATTCGAGGTTTCAAATAAAAGCACGTGAAACTTAAAACAAAATGCAGAGGAAGAGTGAGACCTGTTACTGTTAGAGAGCAAAGGTGAACCAAAAATAGTCGAAAATCTATGAAGCATGAGGCAGAAGGTGCAGATCTGGGGTTTTGTGATTTTGTTTAAAATTTTGGTCACCGGCCTGCTAAAATGGTCCAAATTGTAAATTACAATAAAATTTTCCTAAATACATATTTTAAATTTATTAAAAAACAAGTAATTTCAAATACAATTGAACCATTTCTCAGTTTTAATTTTTAAAAAATACTTTGAAGATATGAAGAAGAATAAAATAAGGTCCAGACACCAATCTGAAGCTAATATTTTTATTATTTACCTAATGTAATAACCGTGATGATTGATGCGGCTATCTTTAATTACATAAGACAGTTTAGATTTCTTCGTAAAATATGGTAAAACAGAGAAGTAGTGTTTTGTCGAGCCATGGCACACACAAACTACATTGGGCACTTGGCACTACAAATATAACAGGTATGATGATTAAATACAGAAGAATTAAAAGAATTTCGATCACTGTTGCATTAGGAGCCCAAATAAGTCAATAACTATAAAAAGAAGCCAAAGTAACAAATCTTAGCTTCTTTACCAATCATCAACAACTACATCAGTTAACAAGATCAAAAACCCATTGAAAGATAGCATCACAGAGTATCATCCGGTCGTACTCTTTCATCAGATATGCATACTTTAAAGTTCAAATGTTATGCTCAAAAAACAACATAAACAAAAATATGACATTTTTCATCATAAGGTGCATTTTTTGTTAAGTCACCTCATATAAGAATTCTGGTGTCCCGAGTATATACTTTACGGAACGACGACTACAGTCCCGTTGACGGAATGGTTTTGTTACCGTAAATTATCTACACAAATCTCAAATCTCAAGCCAGAAATAAAGAGACGAACTTTAAATTATCTAACATCTGGCAATAGATTAGTAGCTTACCGGAAATGAGATAACCAAATGAGAACACCCGAACGGAGAGGTCGCCGTTGCCGCTCGAGGCTGCCGGCCAAAGTATACAGCGGCGGTGCCTATTTTATGCAGCGAACACAAGTCTGCGCAGGTGAAAAGGTACTGTTCTCAAAGCAGAATGAACAATAGGTTATATTTGGGGATACTACGACGTCGTATCATCAGCTCCATGTGTAAACCCATATCCAGATATATTGGGCCACAGCCGGCCCAAACTGACCTAAGTTGGGCTAAATTTGTTCTTACTAAGAAAATATGAACCCGCAATCATGGGCCCATTAGTATATCACAAAGACAGCCCAAACGATATTCGAAACACACAGCGCCATTATAACCATTTTCAAAATCCTCCGCCCCCACACACACACACTCACTCACTCACTCACGGCGTCGCGTGGCGGAGCGCAGAGTGCATTCCTTCAATGGTCGTCTTCCTGTAATTCCTATTCCGGCGAGTTTGGGCCGGCAAATCGAACTAAGAAACTAGAGATGCTCGAGCGCTCAATCGATGGAAGGGGAGCCTGACCTTCCGGACCCACCGCCGGAAGCCAAATTCTTCAACCCCAACGCGAGCCGTCCGATAAACATCCAGCCGGAATCCATAAACCTCAGCCGCACGTTCAACACCACCTGCTCCTCCACGACTTCGTCTTCGTCTTCCTCCCCGCCGGACCTGGTCCGGCATGTTCAAGCTGCTTTCAAGCGACATCGTCCCTTAGGTTTTAATATTGTTAGATACACATTTGTAAATCATCTCTGGTTGATCGTTTGGTTCTGTTTCGTTGTTTTCTGGTGCTTTACATTTTGGGAAGTTTAATTGATTAGGGATACCAATTTTGTTGTCTCTTTGGCTATTGTCTCCTTTTATACTGAGTTTACATTTGTGCAATTTAGTCCTTTCTCTTGGATAAAGCCTAAAAGAAGAAACTTCATGCGTAGATGGACAGTATGTTGTGGTTTGTTGTACTGAGCTCTGAGAAGTTAATATGCCTAGTTGCCTAATTAGGTCATTTTTAGCAAAAATTAGATATCCTCATGCTAGGAATTATCCAGTCTCTACTTCTTATTAAACTTAAGTATTAGGCTTTAAGTAGTTCTATTCATAAAATGGTATTGTTCTTTTGACGTGCATTGCCACATCAAGGTCAAGTTTCTTCTCTAGGATGAGCCATTTTGGTTTGTGTGCTGTCATTAGCGGTTCTTTTTAAGTTTCTATTTCTGCTTCTAATAATTTGACTCTGAACTCTTTCTTGCAACTAGTAATGTTTGTCAGAGGGTAGTTTGATATATATTGCTACGGTTATGTATCACTTCTTTGAGACTTGTCATTGATAGGATTTCTGTTTTGGTGAATTTGTCGATTTGGTGCATTGACTGTGCTTTCCTGACTTCTGTATGTTTGTTTTTCTGATCACATTTAGGTATGATGCAGACAAATGGCATTAAGCCGAGGAGATTCTTGGTTCCTCAGCAAGAAAGCTCAAAGGAATCAAATTTAAAACCGCAGTCAACAAATGTTGTTAAAAGAAGTACAGATGATACTCTGCAGGGTCCCAGATTGAGGGGCTCCATTCCGCAGTCCAAGATCAGTGGAGAAAACCATGAAGCTGCATCAATCACTCCACCTTCAGAATGGGGCACCATTGTAAATACCAACGAAGAAAATCCTAAGGCATTCCATATTCAGAGAGCTCAACCTGGACTTTCCATTAGATCTGGAGTCAATGATGCAGTTGCTTCAGGTGTTGAGCCTGGTAATGCAGTAGCAGACGTGAGAAGGAAGGTTCATTTTCCCAATGAAAACATAGCCCCATCTCGTGGTATAATCTTTCTACTTGTCAAGTGATGCCTTAATGTGAAAATGCTTCTTTCATGTTAAAACTATCAAAGAAAGAAATAAGGAAATTGTAGTACAAATTAGGCGTCAGTAATATTTTACTATTTATGGTGTAGATTGCAAATTGTCTTATGCAGGGTCCGGTAACCAAATGGCCATTGGAATAAATGATTTGTTGTCTCATTTGTATTCACTTGCGTTGACAGAAGTCGAATGGGATGATGCGGGCAACCAAGTGGATACTTCTGCAGCTGCCAACAAGCAAGACTCGAAGCATGATAATTTTCAAGGCATGGAAATTGATATTAATAATAATTTCATTAGGTCTGAGGGTGGAGTTTCGTCAACGTTGGCTAGAAGTAACATGGGTGTACAGGATCAATTTCACCAATTTGACAGTTTTCTGGAAAATGATTTGTGCAATGCCATGACCCAGTCATCCGTGGTTGGGTCTTCTTGTGCTACATCAACCTTAATAAACGCCACATCTGCTCCTATGATTAGTTCAACTACTTATTGCTCCCAACACCAAACGGGTGGCGTGCAGCTTGATGTTTCTGCTCAGCCACTTAAATGTATAACCAAGGATACTGCTGGTGCAGTGCTATCAACAGATCAGTCAGCTTTAGCTTCACAGCAACCTATCAGCTCTAATACTTCAGTTCCCATTGAAGCTAATGATAAATCATCTGGCCAGTCTAATGGGCCACGGGGTAGTTCAGCACAGGATTGTGATCTTAACAAAGATTCTTGTCAGAAAGAAAATATTTCGGCCAAAGGGAATGTAACCGACGTGAAATCTCAACCTCCTTCATCGAATGTGCCGCCACCGGATGTGAAGTTGGAGAATTCTAAGTCAGAAAAACAGGAAAGAGGTGGTGGTGGTGGTAAAGGAGCATCTACATCTCGTAGAAAAGGTTATGATCCCGACTTATTTTTCAAAGTCAATGGAAAGCTTTATCAAAGACTGGGAAAGATCGGTAGTGGTGGGAGTAGTGAGGTCCACAAGGTTATATCATCGGATTGCACGATTTATGCCTTGAAGAAGATAAAGCTTCGAGGCCGTGACTATGCAACGGCATACGGGTTCTGCCAGGAAATTCAATACTTGAACAAACTCAAGGGGAAGAACAATATTATTCAGCTCATTGATTATGAGGTATATGCTCCTGAAACTGCTTTCTTTGATTTTGGATACCAGTTGAACAATATGACTTGTGCCGTTTATTTGGACTGGAAATGCAAGCTTGTTTTAGAACATAGTGCAAATACGGATTTTACTTACGCTGTTACTGGGGATATTCTTGATTCCTCAGTTCGTCGATGTATCATGCATATGATCATTTTTCCATTTAGTTAGTTGTTTGGTGTCTCGTTGTAGTAAGTTTTGCTATTCACTTTTCCTAAATTTTTTAATGTTAATATCTACATTCATTCTTAGGTGACAGATAAGACTTTGCTTCAGGAAGTAATGGATGGTTCCATGAGTAACAAGGATGCCAGGGTCAAAGACGATGGGTATATCTACATGGTACTTGAATATGGAGAAATTGATTTAGCACATATGCTTGCTCAAAAATGGAAGGAATTGGAAGGTTCCAATGAAAATGAAATCATAGATGAGAACTGGCTCCGATTTTATTGGCAGGTTCCTTTCTATCCTTCTTTCCTTCTTCCCCACCACTATCTGTTAGCCTTTTTCTTTTTAACATGTATAGTTCTTGAAGAAATTGCAGGATAAATTGTATTTCTTTAGTTCGGGCAATCATGAATATAATCCTAGTTTGCAAAATCATGTTGCAGCAAATACTTCTAGCGGTGAACACTATTCACGAGGAACGTATCGTGCATTCTGATCTGAAACCAGCTAATTTTCTTCTCGTGCGAGGCTCCCTGAAGCTAATTGATTTCGGTATAGCCAAGGCTATAATGAGCGACACCACAAACATTCAGCGCGACTCTCAGGTTTTTCTTATTTTCTCATTTTTCGCTAATTTACCTCCTTTTTAGTTTTCTCATGATTTTGAATTATTTTGAAAAAAAACAATCAATAACCGTCAGGTGGGAACACTAAGCTACATGTCACCCGAGGCATTCATGTGCAACGAGACGGATTCAAACGGGAATACGATAAAATGCGGGCGCCCATCCGATATCTGGTCCCTCGGCTGCATCCTCTACCAGATGGTCTACGGGCGGACCCCATTTTCCGAGTATAAGACCTTTTGGGCCAAGTTCAAGGTCATAACCGACCCAGCCCACGAGATAATATATGAGCCTGTGAAAAACCCGTGGCTTCTTGATCTCATGAAGAAATGCCTTGCGTGGGACCGCAACGCGCGGTGGAGAATCCCTGAACTGCTCCAGCACCCTTTCCTCGTGCCATATAAATTGCCCGGTCACACTTTTGGGCGGGATAAAAATCGTACTTTGTTTCAGTTGATAGCTGAGTCGAGTGCGAATGATGAGAAGGTTATGATGCTGTGTTCTCAT